GAAAGTGTAGCTCTAACAGCTCCTAGTAATACACCTCTCTCTTCTCCTGGGAACCAGTGAACACCTCACCTCCCCTACAGTAGGGTCCTGCTCGCCTAATCCCACAATAATGATGCAGTCAGCCTGACGGATGCACCTCTGTGTCCACGGGGTCAGTGTGTAGTCAGTCTGGTAAAGAACTATGCGATGGATGTCTTCTTGTTGGCCCAGCCAGCTGGACAGACGGTACTCATGAACACTAAAGAGGAAAGGAGTCCATTAATGACAGGCAGCATTGCTTTGCTGGCAGCATCCAAGACATCCATTTTCCTCTTGTGCCAATAGAGCAAATTTTAGCAGAATTTAATGAGCGTGAAAGACAAAGCACAAAGAAAATAAAAACCAACAGAAAGCAGTAAGACACTGAAAAATACTCATTTTATTTGAGGTTTGAATAAGAGAAGATTGAACCAGTCAAATTGCATAAAATGTTTGAATCTGGCACAAAACATACCTGTCAAGTGCAGCAGCTCCAAGACGCTGTTTGATAATACCACTTGTCAGTAGAAGAGTAGGACCTTTATGTGAGAGATGATAGATTACACCCATGAATGTCTACTTCAAGGAGGTGTTACGTCCAGGTTAAAGACAGCTGAAAGTGATTTGATTTTGGTTCAATTACAGTTCAAATTAGGATGCAAATAAGAATCCAGAATTCTTAAAGGGAGAGCATTTCCATCATGGCAGCCCCTCTAATCATGCCTCCATGTCCTCGATAAGAAGTTTTGGAAAATGACAACAGACTGGGTGAAGAGCAGCAGTAGGCTGGTCATATGTTTAAAATAAACAATCATCCATGACCTGAAGCGTTTTCTGTGTCGAGAACAGCAGTGAATGATTATAAGCCAAATTTGAGCTTCCATATCTCTTTCCATTCTTACCTATTGCAAGGAGTGCATGCTGCAGCTCTAGAGTAAAGGCAGTAAGAGGCACCTCTTCTGATACTGGCAGGACTGCCACAGTGGAGAGGTTGGAGGCTTGGTTTCCTGCATCCCACTTACTTCCTGGTGTGTGCAGGGCCAAACTGCGAGCTGGAGATGTGTTACAGATTTGCAAATGGTGAAAAACAGATTTAATACCAGAAATGATGGGAGAACCTAACCAATTAAAACATGTGTAGACCATGCATATGTTCAATCCAAAGTTTGTTTGTTTCCCAGCCCCTACATAAAGGACTTTCTGAGAAGTTTTTAGCAAGAGCCAAAGAAAAATTACAAACCTTATTAATTACAAACAGTATCAAAACATTTTCAGTTTATTATAATTAAAACACAAGATATTTGTTTATCCATTAACAAACAGATGTGCCACACAATCACTGCCTTTATGGTACGTCAACAAAAACTGCCAGTATGTCTGAGCCAGGAAAGAGCCTGCAAAATAGGCAGCATAGCACACAGATGTACACACCTGTCAGAGGACCATTGACCTGCTGCAGTATCTTCTGTCCGAGTAAGTGGATCAGCCTGGTGACAACCTGAGATGCACATTTTATAATCAGCCCTGTTACTCAGACTCTGCAGTACAAAGTCATTTCCTGATTTTATTTTAAATGTTTATTGTGATGAGTTTCAGTGAATGCAACATGTTGATTTTTATTAGTTTGATTAAATGTATTAATTATCTGTATTATTTTCATGATAACTTCAAGTCTTTTTTTGTTTAAAGGAAAGGGACGGGTGAGGCAATAGCACTTGTTCTCTCCAGTAAAAAGGATTACTTTAACAGAATTATTTTCAAATAAGATGAATTTAACACATTAGATTAGGCCTACCTGAGGAAATTTCCTCTTGATAGAGCAAAGTGCACCTTCTGGTAGCTTGGCCAGCTCAGAGTCTCGTACAGCGTGTACTGTGGTCGCTCTGTTCTGACGGGTCAAGGTCTCTACCTGCGCACAGACAAGTCATTAATTACACAAAATCCAAACAAAGCCTATCCAGGAATGCAAGTAAATAACTAATTAGACATCTTAATAAGAAAAATGTTGATATAATTATTTATAATTTTATAAATAATAGTACAGAATTTATACCTGGAATTTGCCATTTCTGTATCAATTATTTCATTTAGGGCAGGCACTGTATATTCTGAACAGACATCTGATTGTCGCCTTCGATTAAAAATAAATAAACAAATAAATAGGAATACATCCGAAGCTAAAAGGCTAAAATTAACCTCTACCCCTCATCTAAAACTGACATCTGAGCCATGCTAAATTTGTCTCACAATCACTATCACAGAAGCTCCAATGACAGCGTCTCTCCTCCAGGTAACAGTAACCATAGCATCCATTAACCCAGGTATTATTAAAAGCATTGAACCAGTCACACCAGCTGACAGAGAGGTGGATGAGTTAAACCAAGTCACTTTGCTTTACACAGGCTGAAAATACCATATAGAGTTTAATTTGAGAAAAACTTGGCAGTACTATTAAAATATTTAGAAGATATCTTAGAATCAGATTTGATCATTGTCATCAAATCATGTTTGTATAAAAATGTATCCCAAAGTCATGCTGCCCCCCCCCCATTTTCCCTTTGATTGTAATATGAAGTGCAGTAATTTCAAACAATCCATTTATTACGACCCAAATCTTTTGACCAGTATTGAAGGCTAACAACACCCACACTCCTCTGGCAGCCTGGCAAATGAATTTGGTGCATGCTTTTGTCTAAATGCACTTTAGCTGTCCCAAAAAGAGCATGAAGAAGATATAATTATCTGGATTGTTTTTTATGCATATTCTATTTCAGCTGCCTTTTGGCTACATTTTTTGTTCTTTTTTCCCCCCTTTGTTTAAATATATCCCAAGATGTACTGGTCTTAGTCTGTATTTACTGAAAGTAGAAAGTAGAACATACAGGAAATCCAGTCTCATCAGCCATATGCAGTATACTGACAGCTAATAGGCAGTTCCATTTGTGATATTAACATTGTAATTTTTTTTTATATCTAACCTTTTAACAGGTTCTTATATGAAAACAAACAGCTAGTGTTGTTTGATACAACATGGATATTAATAGTCTTCCATCAACTCTTCCCCAGCTGTCTTCCCTCTGGCTGTCACGGTGCTTACCACTCCAATCAGGTCACCACGTCCGTACTCTCCTATCAACTCTTTCTTGCCATCCTCCTTCATGATTACTGAGCGCAGTCGACCACTCAGCACTATGAAAGTGCTGTCTGATTTCTCTCCCTGCCTGCAAAAAGAAAAAAATACAGATAACTTCAGTCTACTCCAAACAACTCACAATCACATTTCCAAATTCAGCTTCCCCTCCCTCGATTAGTATTTATTAACTTGTCCCACATGAACCAAGTAATGCCTGCAGTGTTACGAGTTGATTTCACACATGAGACACAAGGTCAGCAGAGGAATACCTGTAAACAGCCCTGCCAGCTTCGACAGCCATCCAGTCAAGAGCAAAGTCTATTTGCCTGACAAAAGATGACATCCTCTTCACCACAGCATGAGCAACATTCAGCACCACTTTGGGCTCCACTCGCATTATCCTAAGGAATAAAGAAGAATCCACAAAAGTAGAAGTAGCCATCTTTGTTTTCCCCTCCAACTCTACAGTGCTGAACATCACAACAGTGTGAGGATGTGTGTCCAGGTCACTCACTCATAAAAATGTGTTTTGGAAATAGAGAGGAAGCTGCAATCTCGCTGAGCTCGAACTGTAAATATGAGGGGCTCTCCGGTCAGAACAGCAAGGTGACCAACAAGCTCTCCGGGATGCGTTACAAACAGGCGCAATTCTTCTTCACGGTCAATCATCCGCTGGTAAACATGGAGGAGGCCAGAAATCACGAAGTGGATGCTCACCTCCTAAAACACCAAGAGGGAGCGATTGAGAGAAAATGCTCAGATTTAACAGTCCGACTCTGAATGCTGTTAACAATCAGGTGGTGAAATACTGAATTCATGATTTTTAAGATGAGTAATACCTGTGTTGAAATTCAAATTCTACTGTTGAAAGCATTACAGGCAAGTCATTCCCAGTCATCCCTTAGATTTTTAAATGACTGATTAGTTTGTTTACTTTATAAGCTTAACCTGTTTCCCCTCTTGCGTATGACTCAGGATAGCCTTTAACCATATGATAGTATAAGGGGGCCGCATTCTAATTCTTCCCACAAGCAAGTTCACATGGACACAACTTTACATGCACACTAGTTTCCCAGGTCGACCCTCTGCAATGCATGGACACTGTCCAGTGGAGGCATAAATTAATCAAGAGCTGAAATGAAGTAAAATATTAAACAGAATGAAAAGTAGCTAGGTTCTAAGTTGCTGTTCCAACCTGATCTCCCTGACGAGCTACCACAGAGCCAGCTTTGACATGGTGGACGGTTACTCTGCCTTCAAGCAGACTAGGGTCCTGCAATAGAAAAAGACACTCTAAATATCCACTTATGATGACAAGATTGTGGATTTAACATTTTCCCACTTAACATGCCACAAAAATAAATTTAAAAGGGTGTATTGAAAGGATCAGAACACTGACACCAGCTGAATTTTCTCCAATTAACCCCTCACCTGCAGCTGGATGATTCCCAGCAGGTCTTTCTTAGCAGCTTGGAGGATTGCACTGCTTTTACCAAGATAGGTAGCATCAGCGTGCCCTCCACTGTCTGTATAGTGAAATACTTCAGATGGTGTGTGTTGCATTGTCACACTCTTCTTCAGACTAGACTACAAAGACAGGCACAGGAGAGAAACTACTATGGAGGAAGTAGGTAAGATGCAGCAGATACTGTGCTATTGTGTTACATTTATACACAAGACCTGTCACCACGCTTCAATGTAAAAAGCAGACCTTACTTTGTGAGTGATAGGACTTGACGGAGCCTCCTCAATGGTAACTCGAGCTCGTTCGCAGGCCATGCTGAGGTCATTACCTGTAACTCAGAAAACAAAGGATTAGGATAACGAGTACATCTGTGCAGGAAATTAATACAGCCATGTGGCATTTGATGATCGCTTATGTCCAAGGCAGTGACCCACCTGTGCATTCAGTGGGCATAGAGGTGGATCGCAGCTTCCTGGTTGAATGGCTGTCCTTTACACCATCTGCAAAAGTCAAGTGCCAGCACTGGATCAGTTTCAGTACAAGACAAAGCTGAAATTGAACGACATGTAGTGCATGTTTGTGTGTGTGCTTGACCCGTCTCTGCAGTGTTTTCAGTGGTTCCGGCAGGTAATTCGTCCTGGAAGTGGAGACGTCGAGTCTTTCCAGTATTTGCTTCTGCCATCACATTGTTTATATTGGTCAAGGGAACTGCTTGACTCTCCTGTCAGTCAAGGAAAAAAGTAAATAAATAATAATAATTGCATCATAACTTGTGTGACAGTCATCGTGACCATGTCTATGCACATAAATACTATAGGTGTCCTATAACAAATTCTGCTCCTACCAGATTGAAGAGCTCAGTTGTTAGGCCCAGATAGTTATGCAAAGCCAAAAAGGTGACTCTTTGGAGGCGCACCATAATTATCTGAAGAAGGAAAAAAAAAGAAAAAAGAAAAACCCTAGCTACAACATGATATGTAGTATATTCTGCTAATTGTTGTATGTTGTAGCTCCAAATTAGATGTTTAATTGGAGAAAAAACAAACACTACATAATGCAATCTGTTACCTGAATGACGCGTACAAGTGTCTCAGGGTACTTCTTAAACACTGACTCAAAGGCTGAAGCAGGTAAGCGTAAGATGGTGGAGCGAGTTGCAGCTCGTGTCGACACAGTTTTATATGGAGCTGGATAACCCTGGCAAAATCGAAGATAAGAATCAGAGAAATCTCATCCACATCTTTCACAGCTATCTATTTGGAACTGTCCTCTAAGTAATAAATTGGGCTAAGGATACTTTCCCCAAGGTTTATTACGTGACCTGTACGTGTACCTGTGCTTGCAGCATTTTAATGTGGCCTAAATAACTGTCAACACTTCAAAGCTCTATAACACAAGTGTGATAGTGTTTAAATGGTTTCTATGCAATGGCAACAAAGTAACAAGATATGAAAAAGTTATTCTATTGTAAGAACTGATTTTTCTATACATTACATACGTGGTTTGAGTTCATTACTGCACAATCAGTTCCAAACAACATCAATCTGAGTGTGTGAAAAGGATGACAAATCAGTTCCAAACAACATCAATCTGAGTGTGTGAAAAGGATGACAATGATGTATTTTAAGAAGAGAAAAACAAAGTTGAAAAGATGCAGCTTTAAATAAACAAATTACAGCAAATACAAAGTACATTAATTTTGTTTCAGGGGCATGAAGGTAATGAATAAACAAATCACACTGACACAGACACTTCAGAAGGCAAATGAGGACATAACCTAGAGAGAAAAAAGCAGGAGCTCACAGTGATAGTGTCCAGAATACTGAGCAGGCTGTGGACGCTGTCTCCGGGGAGGACATCCTTCACCACTGATTCTGTGCCATCCTGCAATACAGAAAAGAAGAATACAGGACATGATGCCAACAAAATAATATTAATAAGGTAAAAATATTTCACACTGTCTAAACAAATCAGCAGACATCTAGTTGGATGAAAGTAGGACTTCAGCTAAGTGGACATGATTAAAATTTAAGCCAGCCAACAACATATCACTTGTTGTGATGGCAAAAATAAAGTAGTTACTATTTATTCTACTGTCCTCTGGTGTTCATGCTTTATCATTAGAAGTAAAACTGGAAACCAGAAAAGGCGCTGAAAATGAATGTAAATTAAATTAGGTACAGTTTGGAGCCAACCTTGCATCACACTTTTTAAAATGAACTTTAATAATGACCAGTGGGCACAGTTGTTAAAATTGCAATACAACTTTTGAATTTACCATTTTCTATATAAATTGATGTAATGTCACAGGTCAGTAGGGTTGGGCCATATCATACTATTCACGGTAATACCAGTATAATGTTAGGCAATGATAAGAAAATGAAATATCGGTTTGGAATATGGGTAAACACGCATGTGCAGCGCCTTTGTTTTCATACGCACATGGTGGCGACGGAAAATGAGAAGGGCAAAAGCAGATTGTTGAATGAAACAGATGAACCAGAATTGTTTTGTAAAACTGGTACAACCTCAATGATGTGGAACTGGTTTGGGCTTTCATCTGTCAGATACACACCAAAGAACATTTTTTGGTAGAGCATGCAAGCAGGCCATCGTTATTACCAAACCGATTTTAGGTGGTACACCGCGCTCAAAAATCTGTCAAAAGTGCTTTAGTTCGACTTTGCTAAGCTACGAAGCCGCACCACTTGATGGATTGTCGGAGCATTATGTCTACCGTAGTCGGGAGCCTCGCGGAGTAATACGTACTGTGCTTCAACATAATATTACCGCATTGTGTGTGTGTGTGTGTGTGTGTGTGTGTGTGTGTGTGTGTGTGT